GAAGCTATATTGATGACTGTCCAGATGGCAGAACAGTTGTTCTGTCAGTCTTTTGCAAGAAGACCAAGCTGGAGTGCTTGTCCCACCACCTCTTCCATTGCAAACAAGCACTGGTGCAGAGTGACACCCATGCCATGTGTTGGTGCAGAAAGGACTAGTTTACTTCATGCTGCGTGCTATGGTGGCTTCTAAGTTCGGATCAGTGATAACGTTGGTACTAGTGCTGGAGGTAGGAGTTCCAGAAGATTTTTGCTTAATTTGATGCTTTCAGAGGCAGTAGAGGCCTGTCCCATAGCTTTCTAGACCTTGGTTTGCAAGTCAGTCAAGCACTGGCTGACAGTTCCCATCTGAACAGATTGTCATTGTTCAGTTATTTAATTCCAGCATAATCTTTGCATGAATAGATTTTCTTGTGCATCTTATAGAATAACCTTTTATATCATTAGTATCTGCAATAATTTTTTTTCCTTTGGAAAGTGATTCATGTCATCTTGCAGAGAGGAAAGACATAAAGCATTATTCTGCAGCCACACAAGAACCCCTATTCATTCATAGTTTAGATTGTGAAGCCAATCCTGTGTCCTCAGGGTTGGAGTTGGTTTTGTGGCAGCAATCCTAATTACAGAATCTTTCCTCAGTGTCTCTGAACTGGGGGCTGTTCTGGAGCCACAACTGGGATGGAATGGCAGGCTAGAAGAGTGAAGTATGGATGTCTCTTAACCATTGTTGCTATTCATTAAAAGGAGGTTTTAGCCACCAACTGAAAGTCACAACAAAAGCCCATTCAACCCGAGTTTGAGACCAGGTTCCCAGATCTGATAACAGATCCCCTAGGCTTTGTCTCAGCTAGGTTTACATGCTGGATCATGTTTGATGGATCACTGTAAAATGTAAGCTGAGCTTGTGCTACCTTGGGCAAGCCAGGAGCGAAATGAAAACACAGTTTCTACTCTGCATCTACATGCATCTGTGCTGCCTACACAATTTTCTTTCCTTTTTTTTCTGGTCTTGCAGAGGTGGAGTCAAGGACTTCAGCACCTTGAATAACCTTAGCATGTTCTTGCAGACAATTTTAAAGCCAGTAGGAAATAATCACTGAGAAAACTGTCAGGTTTTTGATGGTGATTCTTTGATTATTTCCTTCCCTGATGCGGCAGTAAAAGGTGCCCATGAGAGAGGCAGGAGGTGGGGATCTTGTGTTAGCCTTGACAAGTTTGTGTCTGGATTATGATGATTCCTGGGTATGATAGTACCAGAGAAATACAGATAAATTGGAAAGAGATCATAGAATCATTAAAGTTGGAAAGGACCTTAAAGATCATCAAGTTCCAACCCCCCTGCCATGAGCAGGGATCCCCACCACTAGATCAGGTTGCACAAAGCCTCGTCCAGCCTGGCCTTCAGGTTCTTTAGATGGTCATGAACCTGCTCTACACCTACAGTGGAGGTAATTCATTCTCCCAGTCCCTGCTTTCACCTGCTGTGGCCTTTGTGTTGGGGCTGAAGCACTTGCCAGAGAAGACTGAAGCAAAGAAGTCATTGAGAACCTCAACCTTCTCAATATCCTGTGTTGCTACCTCACCCCTTTCCTTCAGGAGAGGGCCTACACTCCCCTTGGATGTCCTTTTCTCCCCAGTATACCTGAAGAAGCTTTTGTTATTGCTCTTTACATCCCTGTCAAGATTTAATTCTAGCAGGGATTTGGCTCTCCTAACCTGATCCCTAGCTGCTCAGACAACCTCTCTGTAATCTTCCCAGGGTACCTGCCCCAGGTTCCACCCCCTGTGTGCTTCCTTAAGTTTGAGCTTTTCTAGGGTCTGCTTACTCATCCATGCTGGCCTCTTGGAGTTTCTATTTGACTTCCTCTTAGTTAGGATGCAATGCTCTTGGGCCTGGAAAAGATGATACTTAAATATCAGCGAACTTTCATGGCCCTCTCTACCCTCCAGGATGTTATCCAAGACACTCTCTTGAACACATCCCTGAAGAGGCTGAAATCTGCTCTTCTAAAGTCAAGGGCAGTAAACTTGCTGTAAGCAGATGTGTCTTGAAGGTTGGTTTTATACTAAAGCAGAGACTGTTAGTAACATGGCTGAGCAATGGGCAAAACCACATCAAATTGTTTGGGAAATAGGAAGTGGAGATGATGGAAGAGGTGTTGTTATTGGGCATACCTGGAAATATGAGGTTGAAGTAAAAAGAGTCAGTTTGGATTGGGAATCTGGGAGACTTTTTAATCAGAGAACTCCTAGTGGGATAATCTTACAGACACAAAGTTTTGTTATTTCAAGGTGGTTTAAAGGATTGGAGGATCTCACTTAGTCCAATGGAAGGGGTTCACATGTAGGGAGGCAATTACCCTTGGAGTCATGTAGGAGGAGGAGACAGTGAGTCTAATATATTATTTTTCTAATTAAGAAATCACTTAATCAAGATATAATTATTTCCCAAATTAGGTATAAACCCAGTCTATTGTTTGCTGGTAAAAAGACCAGTCTCTCTTTGCTGCGTATGATGCAGCAGGAGGAAGGAGCTCTGAGAGAGTGCCATGCTTTTTCAGGAGCAGTATTACTTCTTCATCAAATCTCCTGCCCTGAAGACCTGTACTTTCTCTAAATGTTACCTAACTTTTATTTTAGGAAATGCCAGAGAGCTTGTTTGTAGTTGATGGAAGCTCAGCAAAGGTAAAGCAGCAGTCGTCCTACCCTGGATGTGTTAAACACAAGGCACTCTCAGTGGGTCTGTGGATTAGGCTTTTTGGAGGCACAGCAGCATGAGTTTTCCTGTCTGAACAAAGCCCATTAAATCCTACATGATGAAGACACTGGGAAGCCAGTTTTTAAAAAACTGTGGCTCTGATTCAGCAGAGCATTTAGCACACCTGATAGTGAAGCTTGAGAGTCAGTGACTGGAGGGTGTGGAGTCTTATTACCCAGGTTTATACCTGATGGTTTAAGCACCCCGGGGTTTAAAAACGGTTCTGTTTACACCCTGACTCACTGCTGTGGCTGGGACACTCCTCATAGCTCTGCTCATCCCTCTGGAAGGCCCTCCCGTGCCTGGGGGGCTTTGGGGCAATGCCAGTGGGTGTAGAGGGGAGCAGGGCAGGCACAGAAGTGCTGTGAAACTGGCCCTGGAACAGCATGCAACTTGGACTTCGGTGAGTGATAGGCAGGTGGCAGCCTGTTCCAGATACCAGCATGGCAGCTGGAGCAGTTGCTTCTTCATCTTGAATCCAATCATTTCAATACTTGAGATACTCCAGAGAGCAAAGCAGGAAGGCTTCTTTACAGCCTGCAATTCTACCCAAGTACAATGAGCAGGCATGGCACATTACAAATTCCATTGAATACTCTGAAATCAGTACTTCTCCCTTTCAAAATAAGGCTTTAAAATAAATACCATGTCAATGCCCAGTAGTCTTTGTGCTATCCAGAGTCCTTAATTACAACAGCACCAAACGCCAAGGTACTTCCCTTCTATGTGGTATTTGTATGGGCTAAGGTAGGTGAGATGTGACACACATGGAGGGCAGAGCTCACATCAGATGCACTTCTGCACAGTGCTAGGTTTTTACCTTTGGAAACAAAATAAGCCCATGCAGCAGTTTGGCCTGGATGTGATTTAATCATCTTTTATGAACCGGATACAGGAATAGAGGGTGCTCAGAATTTAATTGCAGCGTTTTATTTTGATTGTTGAAGTATTCAAGAAAGGTGAAGCAGTATCTAAAATGGAAGACCCTTAAATCTGAGATTCCTGTATTTTCATGACAAAGTTAAGCAGCGTTTGTTTTTTACTGGTGCAGTTCTGACCATGATGATAGCAAATGCAGCTGGAAATGGCTTTGCCAAGTCTTAAACACTCAATTCCTGGTTTTCACAGGCGTAATCTTTGTACAAATGCTACTTTCTGCTCTTGATGTCTACACTTCTATTTATAGGTAGTAAGAGAATGAAAAACAGTTATTCCTCCTTTAAAATGTTTTGCCATGGTCCCAGAGACCTTGGTGAAAGGCTAATGGGAGCCAATGTGGCCTTTACTAAAGGCCATGCATTCTTAGAGGCATTCATCTGCTTTGCTCCAGGCTGTTTGCAACTTTTTAGAATCCAGAGAGCTCAGAAATCTTGGAAGTCCTTTTCTCTGCTGCTCTTTGTCTTATCTTTAGTGTCTTGGAAAATGAAAGTCAGAAATTCACAACGCGATAAAAATGCTTTGCTCCATTAGAATTGAAGGTAATGTTTTGTTCAGCCTGGGGATGAGAAAAAGCAAGCATGAAAAAAAAATTAATGAGTGGTTAAAATAGAGCAGTTAAAATGGCAACACACAGCCAGCCTGTGTATAAATATAGGCTGGCTCCTCAGCAGTGCTCTTATATGGTAGATCTGAGTGAAGGAAAAATATCAGCCTACTCTTCTTCTGCACCAGCCTGCATGTTGATGGTTACAGTCTGGTGCCATATGTTTGGTAGCAGGCAAGGCTGCTCAGTACATGTAAATTGTTATATTGACTCTTGCCTTTTTTTTCTGTTGCAGGGACCTATTTTACCAGTGTGAGAGGGGAACCTCGCAGGCATACTGTGGAGTTTTTGTGCATACGTGCTATTTGATTATCTGTCTTTGACCTGCCCAGAAAGAGAGAACAGTCAAACAAAGATCATTGTCTTGTCACTTCTGCCTGAGGACTGGCTGAATTTTATGACACCTGGTGGAGAAGCTTCCTGGACCATTGGAAATGGAGCCACTCGTCATGCATCTCTGATCTGCAAAGCTCTCTGCATGGCATACAAGAAGCAAGTTGCTTTAAGTTACACCATATGCACGTTGCACTGATTGTTGTAACTGTACTGCTGATGTCACTCCAGACTTCACTAGGGCTTCCCAAGGCAGTAGCTTCTCAAGCAGTTTGAACGTTTTTGACTGATACTGGAATTTTTTCATTAAATCTGGTGTGGCTGTGAAAAGTGGAGGGGGGGGGTGTGAGATTTTCCTGTAAAGTTCATGGTCAGTTTTGAAGCCTCACTTCCAAGTGTGATCTGTGCTATGGCAGCAACCTACAGGCTTATGGTCACTTCTGTGAACTGCTACAGCAGTGTGGTGATAGACCAGCACTTCCAGCGTACCGTGCATTACTGCACAGGGACTTGCCAAGTCTTTAAGCAAGGAGTTACATGCATAGTTGCCCACCACAGTGTCTGTGCAGAGCTCAGTGTCCAAGATGCCAACCCAGACCAGAAAATTCCTGTTCCTGAAAATGGACTTGCCTTGCCTGGAAATGAAGACTATCATCAAATCCTCCCAAATAATCCCAGAATCAAAAAGGGCTCTTCAGTGCAAGCCTGCAACAGCTTAAAAGACATTACTGGTGAGGCCATAAACCTTGCCAGTGGTAAAATAAAGGAATTCTCCTTTGAAAAGCTCAAAAACTCTTCCAGTCATGTGGCCTACAGAAAGGGAAGGAAAGTTCGGTCAGAGTCGTTCATCAGACGATCATTTGATTTTGACTTGATTTATGGGCACTTCAACAATGATGAGAACTGCCCTCCGTGTGGCTTTTTGCAGAGTCCCTCACCTGCGGATAAATGGCAGGAGAGCAATGATGCTCCAGAAGTCTCAGTGGACCCCATGGTTCCCTTCTCCCCTCATTCCTTCTCTGAAGAAAACTTCATAACCCAGATTTTGGAAAAACACAAGCTAGATGGTTCTTCTGGTGGAGATATTAAGGTGTGCTTAGACATCTTGCTCAAGTGCTCAGAGGATCTGAAAAAGTGCACAGATATAATAAAGCATTGCATCAAAAAGAAGTCTGCAGACAGTGGAGGGAACAGCAGTGATTCCCTGACTAACTCAGAAATGATATATATGAATCTGATGACAAGATTTTCTTCATACCTGAAGAAGCTACCCTTTGAGCTCAAGCCACCAGGACACAAGGAAGCTAGTGACTTGGCAGAGCTAGTGAACTGTTTTCATGGCTTGCAGCAAACTCCCTTTCCCCCAGCATTTGGAGATGAGCAGCCACCTAGGTATGAAGATATCATTCAGCTGCCATCCTCAAATGCAGTTCCTCTGGGCCTACCAGGTGATCAGTGTGAGGTGACAAGCCCCTCTCAGTCCATCCAAACAAGCACTGTGAGCTTTACCTCAAACTCCCTTCCCACCAACCCACTGGAGAAGAGCGTGAGAGCTGTGAAAGGTGCTTGTATCCTACCTCAGTTCCCAGCCACAAGCCCTTCTGACTGCACGTCTTCCAGCGAGGCTCTGTACATTGTGGAGGAGTCTGATGGGGAAAGGACACTGGGCAAAATAAAGGTGGCAGAGCAGAAAGGGGGCTGGGAGAGCTCAGAGCGCAGCTACCAGCTGGTTGGTTCTTCAGATCTGACTGCCAGTGCTAAAGCAGAATGTGCCAGGGTGGGAGACACTGAGCTCTCCCATGCTGCCCAGAAAGTTACTCCTTTAAAACCAGTCTCAGATGCTGCATTGTGTGGTTCCCGAGCTGATGTCTCCAAAGGAGAACAGCTGTGCAGGAAGGCAGACAAGGAGGAGATAGACAAACTGCTGCTGGACTTGGAGTGCTTCTCACAGAAAATGGAGAGCACCTTAAGGGAACCCTCGCTGAAGGAGAGTGAACCTGCCCGTCTGCAGGTGTTTGGCTGGCAGGGTAGGCAGGTACTACCTCTGGCTGTTGAACCCAAAAGCAAACCTGTTGATCCCACTTCCCCTTTGTCAAAAATCATGGACATGAATGGTCATAAAATGGAAGAGGATGACAAAGCCCTTTTATTGCGTATCCTGGGAAGCATTGAGGACTTTGCCCAGGAACTGGTGGAATTCCAGACAGGCAAGGGAAGCTTGTCCAAGGAGAAGGAAGTGATGCAGATTCTTCAGGAAACGTTAACAACTCCTTCACAGTCCCTCATTGCAGGGCAAAAACGCTATGCTGGGGCTGCCTCCAGAGACTCTGTTCCAGCTTCAATTCAGCAGGCCCCAGAGGTGATTAAGGTAAGAGAACCAAAGCTTTGATGGGATAGGGAGTGAAACAAATATGGGAAAATGTGGGAAAAGGGTAATTATATCTGCTAAGTGATTCATTGTGCTGCAGTGTGGAACATGTTCAACCTGGCAGAAGTGTAGCATTTAAATACAAACAAAAAGAAGGAAACTAAAACCTCTAAGCAAACAAAATATGCCCTGACATGCGGTTTCACCTTTGAGCTTGTTCCTCTCCTGCTGGTGCTCCTGTAGGCTTTTTATTTGTGGTGTAGATGGGCCCTATATAATGGAGGGTAGAAACAGTTTTTCAGTGAACTGCTTTATTCCTGGGAGTGGGTATGGGACTTCCTCTCACTGGTTCAATGAGAACTCAGTGTGCCACCTCTCCCTTTCTCATCTCTGAGTAGACTCCAACAGCCTTTGTTGTCCTCCTCATCACTAGTTCCTACAGAGAGAGCCTCCATGGCACAGATGTCAGAACCTAGGAAGATGTAGTTTTCTTTTCCCAGTCCCCAGTGCATAAAGTCATTGTGGAGTCTGTACTGCTTATCTCTCTCAAATGAGGAGTGGGTTTTCCCAGGAAAAGGAGTCTTGATGAGAGCCTGCTTTAGAGGGGAGCCAGGGCTCTCTGTCCAGTCCTCAGTGCTTTTCATTTGCTAACGTGCCAACTTTCCAAGACAACTTGCTGCTAAACTTCCAAGTGCACAGAAAGTATAGAGAGGGCTACACTTTGCAAAATCCACCTTCTATGTAGGCATTGACCAGTGGACTTTGACAGCTCTTTCCAGTTGGAGCATGATGTGCATGTCTCTAAAACTGTCCACTTTCCTGAAAATACAGGTATTTGGTGTAGTTCTGGCAGGATATGGGTGGGGTGTGTCTGACCCTAAATGGCAGTGCTGAAATCTTTTTAGACTGGGCTCTCCAAGTTTCTGGTGTTTCCCTGGGTAACTTTGCTTATGGAAAATGGTAAGAATACCTTGTGTGGTATCTCCAGCAAGGGAGAGTTCATTTTTTCCTCAAGGAGTTTAGAATTAAGTAGCTCTGAAAGCTCTAAAGTAATCTCTTAAAATACCTGTTCTTGCCTGGTGTCTTAATTTACAAAATTTTCTAACTTGTGAACTTCAAAAAAAAGTGTGTTTGATAAACCATGACATTTATATTTGTGGCAGTTTTTCTATAATACTTGGAAATTGGATGCGTTTACCCTGCCAAATCAAATACCAGTCTGGTCCCTCACCAGCTCTGTGTCCTTAATCACCCACCCAGCCTGGCTGTTGGCTTGCTCCTACCTGCCTTCTGTGGTCCTGTAACACACACCCATACTACAAGAGCTCTTCTCTTTGGTGCAGCAGCACAGCCCTTGCTCTGTCTAGAACCAAAGGTGATGAGAGTAACTGTCTTGAGGCTGCAGAGGAGCTGGAGGGCGCCGGGCTGAGCACTGGGCGGGCAGGGGCAGCTGTGCCCTCCTGAGTCAGCCTGTAGCAGAGTGGGCAAAAGTCATCTGAGTTACTGGCTCTCCACTTACTCTGAGGTTTGCTGTCATTTATAGTATTCATGTGGCCACAGACTTGGCTGTGAACTCAAGGCCCTTTCTAGGTGTAGCATCAAGGGAATACATCCTTGTTGCTGGGTAACTCTGGATCTGGCTGGAGCTCCATGTGGATTCTGATTCAGTATCACACGTGCGCCTCAGTGAGTAATTTGTAAAGTATTTGTTGTATTTTCTTAGGGCTCATGAAACTGTTATCAGATAGTGTCCTGGTTTGAGCCAGGATGAAGCCAATTTTCCTTTTACTGATTTTTTTCCTTCAGTAAGCTTTCTTTTAACTAGCAACAGTATGTTCTGCTAGGTTGATAAAACACTGGAATGTTTTACTACCTACTGAGGCTCCAAGGTCGCACCTTCACTCTGCCAGCTCAGACACTATGGGGAGATCTGTGACCCCCTCGTAGGAGGCTGAGTTAGACAGACAGCAATATTGGCCAGAGATATTCCATATTATATAGCTACGTAAGCTGAGAGGAAGGTCAGAGATCACAGAAGACAACTTCCTTCCTTCTTCTTCTTCCATTCTCTTCCGTCCATGGCCAGTGTCCGGGGAGGACTCTGTTCATCCATCACCATCGACCCTTAGGCTCTTGTGACCCTCATCACTCTGTGCTTTCTCCAGCAGCAGCTCCGGGATTCCTCGGGACTCTTCCCAGTTCAGGGAAGTGCTGGAGGAGTTGCTGGGGGTGGGGGGAGGCAAGAGGCTTTTGCCCATACCTGAATATATCTGTATATAATTGTACATATATTCTCTTATATCATTCATTAGTGTTTTAATTAAAGCTGTGTAGTTTAGTTTTCAATCCGGCCAAGTCTCTCTCTTTTTCTCTCCTTCCTTGCCTGGGTGGGAGGGGGAGGGGATCGAGAGCATTGTTGTCGGACCTGAGTCAAATGGTGACAACAATTTATTGGTGCCAAACGTGGGGCTTGATTTTAAGCCCAGATTACACATTTTCGTCAATTGGGAGTGTTCAAAATTCTATCTCTGATGGGAGGAATCCCTCAGATAGCAATGGTAAGCAATTCTGCTGAATTTCCTGACGGATTGAAAACTGAACAGACTGCAATGAATCTACTGGACGCCAACCATGGATGGAAGAGAAGGGAAGAAGAAGGAAGGAAGTTGTCTTCTGTGATCTCTGACCTTCCTCTCAGCTTACGTAGATATGGAATGGAATATCTCTGGCCAATATTGCTGTCTGTCTAACTCAGCCTCCTACGAGGGGGTCACAGATCTCCCCATAGTGTCTGAGCTGGTAGAGTGAAGGTGCGACCTTGGAGCCTCAGTAGGTAGAAAAACATTCCAGTGTCTTATCAACCTAGCAGAACACACTGTTGCTAGTTAAAAGAAAGCTTACTGAAGGAAAAAAAAATCAGTAAAAAGAAAATTGGCTTCATCCTGGCTCAAACCAGGACAGATAGTTGTGTGCACACACACAGCCCCCAGAGATCTGTCACCAAGGGAAACACAGTGCAGCTTTCACTTAAAAAGGCTGTGACACTTTGAATATCCATCAAATCCTAAGCAATGAAAAAGGAAAGGGAGAGCCACTTCAGGCCAGACTGTTTGCTGGCTCAGTTGGCCTATCTGTGGTGAAATCTGTGCTGACTTATATTGGCAGCAGACTTTATCATAAAACTAATTATGATTCTCCACAGAGAACAATAGAATTACTTGTCTCTTCATTTTCAAAACCAAAATGTTTAGAAACTAGGAAATGAATACTCAAGAAGCCCATCAATTTTACAGCACACATAATGAGCAAATCTTGCTGCTTTCAGGCAGGCCAGGAAGCATTGCATACTTTTAGGTTGTCCAACATTTCCCATTTTGAGATCCAGTTTTCCATTTCTTATCTCTAAACCTCCAACTATTTGTTTTAAAACTTCCTGTTCTGTGTGCCTCTCTTAAGCTGATTTTAATAGGTAGTCTTTGAAATAAATAGTTTAGTGGAAACAGTTCAGCTGTCTGCTAGAGACTAGCAAAAACCCATACTGTATTTTTGTCTTTAGGTAGGAAGCTAACAAAGAGTGCAGCCTGGGTGTACTGGCAGGTGTGAGGGAAATGGGGGAAACTGGAACCAGTGAGCAATGCACAAGGTGGAGATGGGGCTGTTGGGGCTGTCTGACCTGATCTATGGAAGTGCTGAGTGTCAGGGGTTTTCTGGAAGGTAAAGGGTGCTACCTTTTGAGTAAATTGTTGTCTTATTCAAGTCCTTGGAAAGTCAATGGCACATGTTTTTGACCTCGTCTGCTCTGTGCCCTTGGTCTGTCACCTGTACAGGATGGCTGATGTGACAAGGTTATTACATTCAGTTGACACTTGCAGAACACTTGGTACTCTAATGAAAGCACACCAGAAAAGGCTGTAAGAAGCTTGCTAATTCCAGTTTCAGAATCAAGTTTGAGTTGTGCAAGTCCTGCTTATGTGTTTTATTTGAAGAGCCATTGGAGAAAGTTTGGAAGTAATATTGGGAGCAGAGACTAGGACCAGAGTACTTCCTCTGTTGGGGATCTCTTCTCAAAAAGATTACTGACAGTGTTGTGAGCCAGAAAAATCAGTCCTACTTCCTTATCTCTCTCTCCCTTGTGCCTCCATTTGCTGTTGCATGGCTCTGAATTTTTCTTTATACTATGATGCTTGTATACAACATACACATTTTGGTTAAGTCTGTTTTCTGCCAGATTGGTTGGTGGAATTGCTCACAGTGAGGTCAAATAAGTGGTGTACAACCATTTCTGGCCAGGGACTGGGGATCTGGGAGCAGGGTTTACAGTTTGCAGAGTTGAGGAACAGTTTCAGACCACCTTGTCTAGCCATGTTACATCTCAGCTGGTGGAGCCTTGAGTGAAGTACCCAGAGGCTGTTCCCTACTGTCACATCTTCCCTCTGGGCTGGCTCTGGGAGGTACCTATCTAGTCCTGCCTCTCCTGAATGACTGATGGGATGGCTACTGCTGGGACCCTCAGAAGTGTTCCCAGCTCTCTGTGTTGTAAAACATTGTCCTGAGGCTACACACCCTGCTTCTGTACAACAAGAACATCTATGTTGCCTGCTTAAACAGATGGCCTGAAGGTGGCTTTCATTGGAATTCATAACGTTTCATAATCAAGTAAAATTAAGTTTGACCTGGCAACTTTGTAATTCTGCCCCATCAAAATGCTGTTTCATAGTTCTGTCTACTTCTAAGTGTTGCACATGTAATTATGTTTCTGAAGGATGTTGGGTGGGGTGATTAACTGTAAAAAGTGTCTTCTATAATATAGTGAGTTTAACTTTGTCATGAAATAATCACTGACATTTTTCTCAAAATGCATCCAAAACATAATGGAAAAACTCTTTCTGGAAAATCAGGTTTCATCTACATATTTTAGAAGTTGTTTTGATCAGATATTGGTAATATCTGTCAGTTAAGCTAGACACACAATCTGCAGTCTCTTCAAACATAAAGTATTC